CAACAACATCAACGACACCAACAACAACAACAGCATCAACAATAACAACTACAACAGTGTCAACACTGTAGATACCAACGCCACAACCCAAAGCGCAAATAACACTAGCAAATGGAACATCATCACAAGAAGCAAGAAGATCCACAGCGATGATAATAATAATAATAACGTTAACAATAATAATAATAACGTTTTTAAATATTGTAAAAATAATATTAATAATATGTAGTTAATTAAATAAATTAATTCGCGCTTCTCGGCTGAGCGTTGATATTTACCTTAACAACCATAATATAAACAATCTTGCCGTTAAAATTTTAAAAATCGCGTTTTATATTGTTTATAGTTATCTTACATATCTTATATCTTACATACCTAATATATAATGCACTGAAGATGAGTTATCTATAACTCGAAATAGCTATTTGCAAATTTATTTAATAAAAATTTTTTAAAAAACAATAAAATGTCTAATTTCTCTGAAATTAATAAATTAAAAAGAAATATAAAAAAGTTGAACAATGTTGAAAGTAGTGTTAAATTTTTGAAATGTTGCATATATATATATATATATATATATATATATATATGTGTGTGTGTATATATTCGGTAGAATTCATACAATACCTATATAGTGGTAGTAGTAGCTGTTCCGGAGGTTATCCAGAGAGCATGCTGTCAGGCTAACACAGCTGATTCGTTGATTGATTGTTGTTTATCCAACAATTAATGCGCTTTTTAAATTTGTTCATTGATTGTGCCTCAACAAGTTCATTTGGTGATGAGTTCCAACTATGATGACTCTATTGAATAAGTAATTCTTTCTCCCTTTGTCTTGTTAAATCTTTAAAATATTTCAAACGGTGACCTCGCATTTTTGTTTTGACTATGCTAAAACGATTATTTAAATCAACTTTGTCCAAATTATGCATGATTTTAAACAACTGAATCAAATCTCCTCTTTTTCATCTTTTCACCAAAGTTGTTAATCCTAATTTTTTAAGACGATCTTCGTAAGCTAGGTTTCTTATTGATGGAATCAACTTTGTTGTAGAGCCCTGCGCGGTTGGAATTTTCAAAAACCGCAACCGCACAAAACCGCAACATTTGAAACCGCAACCGCGCCGCAACCGCAGCGTCGAAAACCGCTGATCCCATCCTTTCTGACGAAACTCTCCAAACTTTTGGACAGCATCAATTTAATTAAAAATTCTTTATCAATTACATCTATCTGTGGATCAACTTCAACATTTTTTACCTCAGACATTTTTATAAAATAATCGATAATTAACCATGCCGTAAATAAAATTACTTCTTTCAAAGTAAACAGGAAAAAGAAAATGGTTGCTTCAACGGATTCCAAAGATATTAAGATTTTAATATATAAAATTATTACAATGATAATGCAATTTTTAAAATGTTATGGACGAACAAAAATATTTAACAAAATTTTTGCGGTCACCGCGGTTTTGATAAAAAAAACCGCGCCGCGGAAAAACCGCATATTTCAAAACCGCAACCGCGTAAAATCGCATGATTTTGCACCGCAACCGCAAAAAACCACGGTTGCGGTGCGGTTTTTGCGGTTTAAACCGCGACAACCGCAAACCGCGCATGGCTCTACTTTGTTGCTCTGCGCTAGACTCTTATCATCCCTTTTTTTCAACAAGTTTATACCATGAAACGCATAAAAAACGAAACATAAAAAAAGGCCCGAAAAAAGATAAAATCTCAAATATATAAGAACTCTACAATTTTTGATAAAAATGTCTAAATCAATATAAAAAATTAAATTAATGACAATAACATTACGTTACTCTCGAAAATTGTGAAGTAAAAATAAACAAATAAAATTAAAATATTGTACGTTGAAAAAACAATATGCATATATACCTACAAGTGTACCAGTCCAAATATAGCATGAATGGTATTAAAACCATGGATATAATGTATGTATATTGCATAATAATTGTTACCTGTCTAATAATTTTGCTTAGTTCTATGGAATTAAACCATGAATATAATGGATACGGCATAATAATTGTTACCTGCCTCATAATTTTGCTCAGTTCTATAGAACTAAACGCGTAAGCATTATACATTTTTTCGTAGTAATTGACATTTTATTGATTTTTTACGATCAAACGTCTTACTATAGACAAATTTTTTAATTAAATGTCAATAAATTGACAAAAAAGCAACTAGAACGATAATCGCTAAACAACCGGCAAAAAACTGATTGTTTGCTTTAATTCAAATTCTTTTTTCAATTTTCTAACAAATATTTGTTAGATTGACCTTTTTGACCTGGATGTTAAATATATATGAACAATGTAACGCGTCTGCCATATTATATATATCCATGATTAAAACCGAATCCTTTAGAATCAACAATAAATTACAATTGAAAATTGAATGTTATTAAAACCGAATCCTATCATCCTATCCTATCGCTATCATCCTTTATATCTGGGGACCAAATTGATACTGCAAACTACTAAACTCCAACAGTGGACGAATGGAAGTTATTTATAAATTACGAAGCAACATATAATCAAATTTCCCAAAAGATTTTTTTATTCGACCAAGCATTTGGTTTGCTTTGTTTGATGCTGTGATAACGATTTTTCCATTTTAAGTTATCAACACCACAAGATTTGTTTTCATCGAGCTGTCTAAGTTTATCTAAAACAATCTTGTAATTGATATCATTTGGCATCATATCTATAAATTGTTCAAAATTACTTTTATTTACATAAAAAGGCGAAATTTTATTATCGTCTTCAAGTACAAACACATCTTGGAAACCGGCATTTATTCGATCCACAATTTCAACTGAATCTGACTTAGTTCCCCATTTGGTTTTTTAGACTTAATTAACTCTTTCACTGTTTGTTGACTATTAAGATATTTGGAAAAAATTTTGGGATTATCCTTAGCTCGTTCAACTGAAGTTTGCTCATAACAAAGACGTGTTTTGACGATTTCAGATTTTAAATTATTGCAGAAATCTTTATATTCATCAAGTAAATTTTTATACTTCCATTTATGAACGTTATTTTTATATTTTTTCTTCTGATATGTAATACTGTATAAAATATGGTCTCCTTATATATCGTAAGTTATCAATAATTCGGTTGCAAGATTGTATAAAACCGACAACTAAACATATGAAGTTGACATCGCACAACGTTCCGTATGCGAATGTAAGCAAACCATACATTTGTTTAACATTAACAAAACAGAGTGCATGGTTATCAGTAAAAGCAAAACCACCCCGATCTGCTCCATAATCATTAATGGTAAACAAGTCAACAGCTTTAATTATCTCGGAAGTCTGATTACTTCAGGTTGTAAATGTGATATGAATATCAAAAGAAAAATAGCTATGGCGAAAAATGCATATTCTAAAATGAAAACGTCCTCACCAACAGTAAAATCAGGATAACAACAAAATTAAAACTGTTAGGGTATTTCATTTTTTCTCTGCTAACTTACGGCTATGAGTCCTGGACAATTTCTAAAGAAATGGAAAAAGATTAACGCTGCCGAGTGTGGTTTTTGAGAATAATTATGAAAATTAGTTGGACCTCTCATACTTCGAATGAGGATGTATTAAAAGAGTCTGGTTATGAAAAGAGGAAATTACTACAGATAATCCGACAGGGGCAGTTGAAGTGTTTTGGTCACATCATGTGGAAGGAAAGAATGGACAATCTAACAACTACCGGAAAGATTGCAGTAAAAAAGATCGCGGTCAACAACGAATAACATTCGTGAAGTCAATGTCGAATATCACCACATATCAACTACTACAAAGTATTATAGATCGGGTTTTGTAGAGGTCGATGGTCGCCAATGTCCTGAAAGGATAAGGCAAGAGAAAGAAAAAAAGATGCAGGTGCATGAATAGAATTTTTGACCGGAAATCGTCTTTGTTATATAATCCCGCGCAATCAATATCCATCTCCTTATACAACCATATAATGAATGTATGGCGTTAATATTGCTCTTGCTTCTACAAGTGTACAACGACATATTTTTAAAATTATTTAAAATAATATAATGGGGTAATTCCAGCCTAGAATTTTGTGGAGAATGTAAATCATAAATCTCATATACTTTTTAAAAATCAATTTTCGTTAAAACACAATTTTCATTGAAAAATGTTTATTACACATTATTGGCTACACCAAAAACGATAGAATATTAAATATTAATTATCGTAAAAATTATATAATATACATATTGTTGTCCAAGGAAATTTCGGTTGCATTAGAAGTGTGGAAAGGAGATATCCAAGCGAAAGATATTTTGGATCCGAACACTCTTTTCAAATTTTTTACCCGACTAGTTCTGCAATATTTAGTTTTATCCCGCTTTAGTTGTTCGATTCCCTAGAGTAATATTTAAAATAACAATGTATATATATATATATATATATATATATATATATATATATATATATTTATTTATTTATTTATTTAAATTCAAGTATTAAAGTATTTTATGCTCATCAAATAGGAAAATTTCGTAAAAAAAAACAACATCGAAATTAAGATGGGATATTTTAGCAAAACATAAATATATCATGGTTAAGTAAATTAAATATAAAAAAGCATGCATTTACATTTTTAAGTGTTAACAGAGAGGACAAAACTCTGCACATTAAATCGGTGACGAAAACTATCGTAAACCCAGTTGTAAGTAATAATGAAAGCTGACTGTGTTGTAACGGGGCGTGCAAACATTCTTAAAATTGCTCAATTTAATAACTTTGCGTTTTTTCATGGTGTCGATTTTTTTCCATGAATATATATAATTTTTTCTAATAAAACCAAACACATTGAAAGATGACAAATTTCCAATACTTTTTTAATAAAAAATATTAACGGCACAAACGAAATTTATACAAAAAGACTTTTCTAATTATTGTACGTAGCTTTTTAGTTATTTTACATATTTTATTTATTGTTCTTTTTTATTTAATTAATTAATCACTTAAAATGCTAAAGATTTGGAAAGAGAGTATAATAACAGCTAGACCTATATAAAAACGGTGAAGAACAAAATACAAAAAACTACAGGCCCGTGTCACATCAATAATTAAAGATGTATCGATAAATCATCTCAATAAAATAATCTTTTTTCATATTAGTCAGTAAGGATTTTTAAAGACAATCATGTCCGTTACAGTTAATGAAACTGATGAACGAGCGGAGAGATGTGAGAAACGGGGAGAAGAAGGTTGACATAGTCTATAAAGATTTTCGAAGGGCCTTTGAGAAAGTATCCCACACAAAATTAATAAACTGAGAAAATATGGTGTAAAAGTAAAATTTTGTGGAAATAGAAAATTTTAAATGATAGAACATTCAAAGTAAGGGTTGGTAAAAAAATTTCAGAGTCGTATAATGTAATGAGTGTTTTACCTCAAAGTAGTGTGCTAGATCCGGTGCTATTTATTATTTATATTAATGATACTTTTTTCAATTTGCGATGAAATGACGTGACAATGGTATTGCATGAATACTGGTGATGCTAAATTATAGGGAAGAAATATTCTATAAAAGATGGAAAAATTCTACAAACCCGTTTAACATCAACTAACTAATCGGTGTAGAGTTTGGGATGTGAAAAGTAATATTGAAAAGTGCAGGGTAAACAGCGTTAATAATAGATTTGGTACAATTTACGTTTATAAAATTGATGACAGTGAATTGAAAAATGTTGATTAAAATAGTGAAAGATGATAATCTGGAATTTAGCATACATATGGATAAAATAAAATCAGCGTAACAAACGTTAGGTATCATAAATGTAAATTTTATGCAAATTAATGTTGAATCATTTAAATTTTTATATAAATCACTGATTCAATCACATTTATAATACCGGATTCGTGCTTAGTGTCCATGGAATTTAAAAAATATAGAAAAACTTGAGAGAGTACAAAGAGGAGGTACAAAACGACCACCAGTGTATAAAGAATTGAACGTCAAAGAATGGTCAGAAACTTGTTGCATTTTACTGAAGCAGACTCATCAAGAACAATTTATCGTTAAGAAAACCCATTTATTCATAATTGACATCAGTTAAAAGATTTTCCTTTTCTTTAGAATTATTGAAATTATCATTAATAACTTGCTAATAATCAAAATCAATATCCCAACACAATTAGAACTATTACTGCGCAGACCTTACTATAGTTAAGTGCGCCATAAATAAATGCAGCTTGATTTTATTTTGTCAATCATAAATTAAAACACATAAATTTTCCATTCCTAAAAATTTGCCACGCTGTGGTTCAGATTTTTTAGCCTAATGGCAAACACATATCTTGGTAAATTTATCTCAAATATTGGAGTATGCTTTACAAAAATAAAAAAATTTGCCAATTTAACTGCCAGATTTCTTTACGTACAATTTCTTATATGTAATAAATTTCTAATACTTTTTTGTTAGGAGGGAAATTACCTAGGTTTTTCGTTTACTGTCTTTGCCAGGATTATGTGCGCAAAAAAAATTTTTCCGTTATTACAGAAATTTTGTGGGTGTTTTTGGTGTACAATAGATTTTTTGCAATGGAAATTCTTTTGTCCAAAAACTTTATGGAAGCTAAATAAAAAAACTTGCAACAACTATTTACACAATGTAAAATCAAAATACATAATTGAAAAGCAATTATTAAAAAAATATGTGTTAACCGTTTCGTCGTTTAAAATTGCAGACATCTGAGATATGCACATAATACATGTAAATAAGCCAAACAACAACGATTCCACAAACAACATCATCATAAGGAAGCTAGTGATTGCGGGAGTAAAATTAAAACAGGAGCCTAAAATGATTTCAAAATTTATGTACAAATAAAAAATAGAGATGAATTGTACAAACTGATTTACCTGATAAACGAGTGGATATGCAGGAGAAAAAGTGAAATCCAGACATGTATATAACATGACATGACATCAAACATATATAAAACTGTGATGCAAAAGATATATTTTAATACTGTTACTGATAAAACAATCAATTATCTTAATTTTCCTGTAATGATGAGTTATTACAAGTTATAATAAACTCAATAAATTTGATTTCGAAATTAAAGTAATGATATTCAACAAAAAACCTAGTCATAACTTCTATTAATTATCGCATTCAACTGCATTGAAGATTGAAAAGTTACAAATAATTCTTTAACGCCATACAAAAAATGTTATAAAAATTAAGCCTTGTCGTTAAAAATTTACCGTAAACAGAACAAAATATTTCAGATTCCTTTCGCCAACACAATTATTGACCCAGGGACAGTGATGATCCATCTTCTCAATGCACCTCTGACAAATGCTTATATAGATTAACGTGAATTAATAAAAATAATAATAATAAATATGTAATTTGTAGCTTCAATGTTTACGTTTATTTTATTTAACTCAATGTCCTGTTTGACTGGATAATGCGATATTAAAATTTATCTTTTTTTAAATTCCGAAAAGTTTAAAGCCTTGCTAAATTCCTTTTTTTCATTCGACAAAATGTCAAATCGTTTTAACTCTTACTGTTGCTTTTAGATTTCAGTAAAATTTTCAAGTCTACATAATTAACCAATTGATGTAAAGATGCTTTATTTCTAAGTTTTTATGTTTCACTTGCTTCACGCCATCAAATGCTGTAAAACAGTAGATAAACGCAAAAAACCCTAAAAAAAATTTCATTTTGTTTGCTCACCCATTGAACATTTTAAGCATGAAGGCTAAGCATTTGTAGTGTAGCATATTCACTAAAAAAATTGGACATTCGAAACATCTTGTCTGAATTTTCTTCGAATTTTCACTTAATTTCAAAAGTAGAGTTTAATAAAATTGCTATTGAAGTTTCCCGTTTGATGTGAACATTTATTTGAAATGTAACCTGTTTCCATCCTATGTAATACATGTCGTTTTGATGGGATCGCTGGAAATTTAACCTTTTCTTATATTTTCTTTAAACTTTCTGTTACTTTATTGATTACAAAGTCATTTAGAAACTTAATTCCCGTCTGGCCTGCCTACTTCGTTTGACTTCATTCATGAAATTTCTGACAAAAGTCCGAGAAGAAGACGTTTCTATTAATAATATATTTCTATTTCTATATTTCTACTAATATAATAATATATTTCTACTAATATAATAATAAAATATACCACCAAAACATGATATATGACAGGCTTAATTAAAATAAGTTATGATCTATCAGATGAATTGGAAAAAAATTATTTTCATCCAAACCTTATTTAGAAAAACAGTTACAAAATTTTCAAGTTTTTCAAATTTCTGCGATGTTGAGTATAGCTTAAAGGACTAGATACGACTTTGAAAACCAAGCTTTTCCTCTATTTTTCTCTTTAAAATTATCAAGTCTGCTCATTCTAGTGCGTCATAAAATCATGCTCGATTTAAATAAAAATATAGACATACAAATCAAAAACTACAAACCTACAATGATGGGCACGTTCTGGTTTGATGGAAACGCATTTCGGACATTTGTACAAAATTTTGTCAGTTTTAAAATTCATTTTTTCCATGCACTCTGGAGTCGCATTTCCTCTGGGTACAGCTCCCTGTAATTCGTTATTATAGAGAAAAATACATTTACAGCATGTCAAAAATCAATAAATAAACAAATACAATTAATCCGATACCATTCATACACAACCACACACCCCCACGCTTGTGTAAAATTTTTTATTCGAACGCGAATTAACCAACGCAATTCATTATTATAATGAAAACCGACAAATAGAATCAATTCGAGCCATATTATTCAAAAGCATCACCCACCAACAACCATAACAAACCATTAAAATCTATTCATAAACATCCGCCAAGAGTAACATCAGACATACCCAATTATCCGTAGTCCTGCATACACATAACATCCATCTTCATTAATGATACATCTTCACACAATACATTCATCTCATACACATCCACTCATACTATGAGTGTTCAATCCCCAAAATCCGACCATGTAATCAGTCTTAAGAAAGAAAATTTAATATATATATATAAATATATATATATACACACACACACAAACTCACAACGGCAATACACATATATTCATACACACAATTACACATAAATTAAAATATAATAAAGTAAACAATCAAATAAAAACAGAATAAATGAAAAAAAATAAAATAATGATAAATAAAACAGTCCAAAATGGAAAATTCTCATAAGTGTTCCATCATCCTCCTACAACATACATCAACCATTAAAATGGGTCTTAAAACATACATATTACAAATATTCCATTATCATCAAACAACAAACTACAAAGCATAAACAATTATTACACCTTTTGTAGACCTTGAAAAAGCATTTGATCGAGTTACCCGTGAAGCAATCAGGTGGAGTCTACGTCGACAACTCATTCCAGAATATCTTGTTCGACTTGTGATGGAAATGTATACGAATAATAAGACTCTCGTCAGCACAACGGTTGGAAACACAGATGCATTTGACATCGGCGTTGGAGTTCACCAAGACTCGATTCTCAGTCCACTGTTATTTATAACTGTGATGGAAGAAATCACAAAGCCGATACGCACTGGTGACATTTGGAATCTAATATATGCTGATATTGTTTTAACAGCCCCGTCTGAGCAGAATACAGCACAGATGTTTGAAGATTGGAACACCAGACTGGCCGATCATGGATTCAAAGACAACATCAGCAAAGCAACAGCAATGAGCACTGGTGAACCGATTCAATCCACAGCTACTGGACGGTGGCCCTGTTCAGTTTATAAAGCTGGTGTAGGTAACAATTCAATCAAGTGTCAGCAGTGTAACCAGTGGTGTCACATACGTTGTACAAAAATAATTGGTAATTTATCTAAAGTGTCCAATTTTGTTTGTCCTGCTTGCATCAATCCACAACAACAAATTCGAAATAGCAATGTTTTTGAAGCCATTAAGGTAGAGAAAGTCACATTGTTTCAATATCTAGGAGATGTTTTGGATTGTACTGGAACATCTGAAGCTGCCGTTCGAGCACGCATACGTGCAGCCCGAAATAAATGGCATCTCCTTGCCTCTATATTGATGCGGCGTGACAACCCACTACCACTACGATCAAGACTTTATAAATCTGCGATACGTCCAGTATTGTTATATGATGCAGAAACATGGCCAATGACAACCAAACTGGAACAACAACTTCAACGAACCGATATGAAAATGCTCCGATGGATGCAACGAATTAGTCTGAAGGACCACATCAAATCTATCAAAATCCTGCGTCGTGCTGGTTTAGATGATTTAAAGGACGAATGACGGCAACACCGTCTGCGGTGGTTTGGTCATGTCATACAAAGTGGAAACAGTGCCATAACTTTTCTTGCAGATGTTGAAGTACCCGGCACACGTCCCAAAGGCCGTCCAAAAAAGTCCTGGTTGCAAACAATCGAGCAAGACATGAAAGCTCTAAATTTAAATGAAATGGATACAACTGATCGCCTAATTTGGCGCAAAAAATTGAACGTCCTACCTCGGAAGAACTTGGTCTTTGGACGCTAAATGATGATTGATTGATTGATTGAAAAAACTACAACCCTCAAATATTATCACGCAACAGTTCACTAAAATTATATGTATACATATAATAAAAATAATAACAAGCATGAGACAAAACAAAATCTGTAGTTTTAGTCAATGATTCAAAACTATATTCGAGCATTCATAAAAACACAACGTTTTCGTCAACCAATGCTGCTGCATGGATGTGAGCCATGGTCAACCGCCGGCATCCTCTTGGAAAAACTCGACGCTACAGATCAATGGCGCTTGCGCAGAATTCTTCGTCCATCCTAGTGTAGTCATGCTATAAACAGCAAAATTAGAAAAAGAACACTACAATCGCCAGTCACCACGCTTCCTGTTAGACATCCCTTTACATGTCTGGCCACAGCTCGTACTCGTTCTTCGGAGGACCACCATAAAGTTATAAAAGTTGCCATGGATTGACCTGAGCCGGTTGGACTCGACCACGTAGTCGCCGAAGGCAGACCTGGATGCACTCAACAGAGGCGGACCGATTGCCTGTCAACACCGAGTTGGTCACCGAGTTAGCTCAGTCGGTAGGAGTGCCATGTCTCGCGCTGCTATTACATGAAGGCATGGTTTGAATACTGTCTGCCAAAAACTTAAAGACCATCAGATGTGAGATTCTGTGCTTTCATGTGCATACATAACGGTTATGTGCGTCGTGTGGTGTGGATAGTACAGACTTTGCGGCACGAACGTTTAATTATAGGTGCAAAATAAAATGTAAAATACAAAAAAATTACCAAAATATTTCAAATATCAGTCTATGTGTTCAAAAAATTTTAATGCATGTTACAATTAAGTAGTTAAAGCTATTTACAAGCAAATTGGAAAAGTTGAAATAGAAATTAATCAACATGGTACGATATAATTTAATAAAAATTGTTAATTATATAATATTATTATGTTAATTAGGAATGGGATTGCTGTTTACAATGTTACACTGGTGGCACTACATAAATCAATGAGAGGATGTAAAGAAATGGCAATGTGTTGGGGTCTTACGGTGACGGTTTTTATTCAAAGACAAATATGAACTTTTTATGCACATACATTTATTCTTACTCCACCTTTTGTAAATACTTTCTATTCAAATGTATAAATAGCATTATATACATAAGTATGAACATTCAAGTGGTTCTTAGGATGAAACTTCTGAAGTAGAACTTATGCATCTGTTACGCTAACTCAACCAAGCAAAATTAACCCGATAACAAGACTAATGCAGATTTTTCAGATAAACAAATTAGTTAGTACTGTATTTTATTTGCAGTAGTTTTTTCACACGATGCCAAGTAGATAAGTGTTTATTAAAATACTTTGCCCGTTGTTCAATATGCTCATACACAAAATTCTTTGTTTACTTTAATGTATCAATAATGCATTTGACATAAAATAATTTTTGGTAAGTTGAACACAAAATCGCCTGATAAATAACCAATTTCAAATAAATAATATTGCAAGCAATTAGAAACTAACTGGATCTGAGAACATTGCTCTGAAATGTGAAACCATGGCCAAAGTTGACAGAATTTCAAATAAAACTCCATTAAAAAGAGCATGGTTGGTATAAGGAGATGGATGAAGGAGGACGGTTATGACCACAAACTGAGCATAAATAATTAAAATCCAGGTAAATGTAGCACAAACAATCCCACATCCATCTTTCACAAACCAGAAAAAGTTAAAAGATGGTGGCCAAACAAAACCAAAATGCAACCAAAATGGTTGGCAATCAACTATCATAACTCCGTCATCATATCTTTCAGAAGATTTTGCACGCCCGACAACTTTAATGATTGGCAATGAGCCTTCCTCATACATAACTGTGATCAAAATACAATGTTGATGTGCAGATGAAATAGGAAAGTTTTGAAATGTTGAACACAAGTTTGTCAAAGGTTAGGTCAAGTTAATAGATGTTGAAACGTCTGTTGCATGTCTTGATGTTTTGCTTATTTTGACTAGCATACTATACTATCATACAGATACATACAATGTAAATTTTACATTTAAGTAAGTTATGACTTATTTTATGATTTATTTTATTTAATCACTTTAATTTTAATTAAATTAATGTTAAACTAAAAGTTAGTTGTTGTTCATGCAAACAAACATTAACTAAGTAACCAAAAGTTTCAAGTAAAGTAAAGTTTGGACAGAATAAAATAATTATTTAATTAATAATAAATAAAACATTTCAATTTCAATGCATGGGGAAAGATTTCTTTTTTAAACTGAAAAACTAAACCTAAAAAGTCCTATCCTATCTCTACTAGTCTGTAAACGGGCAAACGGGTAAAGTAAACTATCTTAAATTTAATTTTAATTAATTAAATTAAATTAATGACTAATGTCAATTTAATATTAATTACATTAGATTAGAATTTAAATTAATTAAAAAAACTAAATGTAATAAAACAACTACGATTACAAACAGATTACAATACTACCAATACAACAACTGCAATCATTACAATATATTAAACAACACACATTTGCGTGTGAAAATCAGGTGTTGTTTGTACGTCCGTAACACCAGTTTCATGAAAGTGATTTTCAAATTTCACGATCAACGACATATAAATATGGAGTGCCGAAAGACTTTTGAGTTGAAATGGAAAATTTAAGAAGTTAAAGAAATCATTAATGCCTGATGCACATGCAAATTTAAAAACACGTGTTTTAACTTAAAAAAAATTTTGATTTTATTTGATCGAATAAATGTTAGCGAACTAATTTCGTTAAAGAAATTCTGTCTGTGTTTTTAAATCATTTAAAAAATATTCTGACAGTAAATATTTTGTTATTTTACACCAATCGACACAATATTGTATGCTTAAAAAATTATTACATATATTTATTCATCGCAAAATTATAGTTAACACGCTGTATCAAAAAATATTTACTAAATGACATTTTTACAACAGGTGTTAAAATTGTGTCTCGGTTTTAATTTATTTAAAAAAAATATTTTGACAGTATATTTTTTATTATTTTACACCAATCGACGCAATACTGTATGCTTAAAAAATTATCGGATATAATTATTCATCGCAAAATTTTAGTTAACACACTGTATCAAAATATATTTACTAAATGACAATTTTACAGTAGTTGTTAAAACCGTGTCTACTATTTGACCACCAACTTTACCTACCATCTGACCATCAACAATAAATAGCTTTAGGAGTTTTATTGGCGTTTGTAAGCTTTTTTATCTTTTTTTTAGTGTCACTGTTAATGTAACGACTGTGCAGTCTAGTAGACGAATGATATATTTCTCCATTGACAGTTACATTTATGATCACGTTTTTGTCAGGTTGCGGAATTTTTTTTATTTTGAAAAAAACTGTACAACATTCTGAAAAGCTGCACCTCGCTTTCCATTCCAATAATCATTTTTTTTACTAGTAGATTTTGATATGTAATTATAACAATAACTCAATATACAGCAAGGTATTACTTTATTAAATTCTAATGCAATCAAATCGGCCCACCCTTTTGACAACCCTCTTGACTTTTCATTAACGGGTGCCACGCAACTGAAATCTTGAAAACTAAGAACTATTTAAAATTTTTTAAGTACTTCATTTACCTGGCCACCTACCACTTGACCACCAGTTTTTTCTACCACCTGACCACCGACTTCACCTATTACTTGACCACCAACATTACTTACCATCTGACCATCGACAATATTTACCACTTGACCCCCAACTTCATTCACGTCTTGAACACCGGCTTCACCTACTATATGACTACCAACTTCACCTACCACTTGACCACCAAATTCATCTACCACCTGACTACCAACTTCATCTACCACCTGACCACCGACTTCACCTACTACTTGACCACCAACGTTACCTACCATCTGACAATCAACAATATCTACCACTTGACCATCAACTTCACCTACCACTTGAACAACGGCTTCACCAATTATCTGACTACCGTTTTCACTTACCACTTGACCACCAACTTCATCTACCACCAAACTACCAACTTCATTTACTACACAACTACCAGCTTCATCTACCACTTGACCACCAACTTCACCAACCACTTGAACACCGACTTCAACTAACACTTGACCACCAGCTTCACCTACCACCTGACTACCAACTTCATCTACCACCTGACCACCGACTTTATCTACCTTTTGACCACCAACTTTATCCACACCTTGACCACCAATTTTATCTACCACTTGACCACTAACTTCACCTACTTCTTGACTCCCAACTTCATCTACTTCTTGACCACCAACTTCTCCCTCACTATCAGCAATCGTTTTAATTTTAGAGTAAATGTATTTCAATTTTTTTATTACTTTATGGCTACGACCGACGCCAAGCGTGATACCAACTTTCACGAACATTTCACTTTGACTATACATTTCGAATTTTGAGAACACTTCTTTCATTTCTTCGATGGTAAAAACAATCTTTCTACTCTAATTAATGGTTGATAGAAAAGTTTGTAATTTTCATTTCAATTGTTATTAACTTATATTTAAAATTAAACTGTTAATAAAAAGAAAATATTTCTTAAAAACAACTAGACAGTTGTTGAGTATTTTTTAAACGCAACAAATATTTTTTGTCTGCCAGGTTTTTTACAAACAGCTTGATATGGGAGCATAGAGCACGTTGATATAACAGTGAGCTTCAAGAAATTACTATTAAATCTACTACTTCTAAAGCAACTACTACTACCACCACAATTACAACTACCACTACTAATACAACGACTACTACGTACTATCACTATAACTACTACTACTTCTTATCTTCTTATATAGCCGCTAAAACTGCTATCAATGCTACTACTACTACTACTATTACTACTACTACTACTAATACTACTACTTAAAAAAATAAAATACACACATATGCACAAATTGTTATAGTCTTGTGTTAATTAGTGCCCTGACAGCAAATAACCATTAAAATTTATCTCATAGCAGACTAATCAATTTGTGATTTCAACAACAAACACGTCGTTATAGATGCTACTACTACTACTACTACACTACATCTACTACCACTATTATTTTGTAAAATAATAAAATATTTATTGTCGGAATATTTTTTAAATAAGTTAAAACCGAGACACGGTTTTAACAACTGTTGTAAAATTGTCATTTAGTAAATATATTTTGATACAGCGTGTTAACTATAATTTTGCGATGAATAAATATATGTAATAGTTTTTTAAGCATACAATATTGTGTCGATTAGTGTAAAATAACAAAATATTTACTGTCAGAATATTTTTTAAATGATTTAAAAACACAGACAGAATATCTTTAACGAAATTAGTTCGCTAACATTTATTCGATCAAATAAAATCAAAATTTTTTTTTTAAGTTAAAACACGTGTTTTTAAATTTGCATGTGCATCATGCATTAATGATTTCTTTAACTTCTTAAATTTCTCCATTTCTACTCAAAAGTCTTTCGGCACTCCATACTTATATGTCGTTGATCGTGAAATTTGAAAATCACTTTCATGAAACTGGTGTTACGGACGTACAAACAGCACCTGATTTTCACACGCAAATGTGTGTTGTTTAAATTATCCATTGATTATAGATGTAGAAATCTAGCAGTTCTTATTTATATCTATGTTATGCCCTGAATATGGGCTATCAACTATGGAAATTCGTTATTATATTCTATTCTAAGTATATGGTCGTTACACTATTCGATTTATCAATTAATCAATCAACTAAGTATATGGTCGTTATACTATTCGATATATCAATCAATCAACTAATCAATGGTGATGATATTCTAAGTAAATGGTTCTAAATAAAATTTTATACATTTACCACGAAAATAGACCAATAAAAATCTTAAAAACCTATGAAAAAAAAATTAAGTATGCCCTGATAAGTATGAGTATATATATACATAGTATGTACACAACACTTATATACTAGATAAAGCAATAAATATATTTTAATATTCTATATTTGAAATTTTAAAATATTTGAAATGTGAACAAAAAATTAATAAATGACAAAACGCCGGTGAATTTTATACACAAATGTAAAGAAAACAAGAAGGTCTTCCTCCTAAGTATTCGCATCCTAGACGCATACGTGGTGAATAAATCAACATGTACACAATGTTCTGTCGAATCTTGTTCTGTTGCACTTTATATTTATTTTTTTCAGCTAACAGTCAGTTAATAATTAACGCTAAAAATAAAGGTGGCGATGTCTTCAAAGAGTTTATTGAAGCGAACACCACTTACGATACGATAAGCTTGGATTTTATGACTGCCGACGGTACTTTAGTCACTCATTTTGTGGACTCCAAAAACGTGAGCTTCTTCTAATCTAGGCATGTTATATTATAATTATTGATGACTATTATATATATATATATATATATATATATATGTATATATATATATATATATATATATATATATCGCATATCACAAATGCCTGAAAAAGTTGAAATGTATTTATTAATTTAAGAAGAACAGCAAAACATAACAGTCAATATAAGAATGAGTTAATCTGTTGATCAGTTAAAAAAGTTAATAACATAATTCAACTCAAGTGATGATTGTATTATAAAATAAATTATATATTTTATTTTTATAGATATTTGATGTGTATTTTTCTTTAATTAATTAATAGAGTTTCTATTAATTATATATGGTGTATGATGTATGTATCTAAAAATATTATTTTTTGTGAAAATAGCACTATTGTTTTTTTTTTTTTACTTCCCTTTACTGTTTACAAGGTATGGGCTGGTCTGGTACAGCAGCTGAGAATGAAATAAAGGTAGCTTGGAAAAAATTATAGAAATGACATTCATACTTTGGTCCTGAAGTATTCTTTAATATTATATTTGAAAAAGAAAATATGCAAAACATGTATGGTAAATTGTGTGCTTTATATATTGGAAATGTAGGTGTATAAACAGTAGAAATACAATACAATACAAATAGTCAGAGGCTCTTGGATCATTATCCTACAAAAGACTCTCCGTTATGAATTATAAAAATGTAGATTTTTTAACTAAGTTTTCAAACCTTATGCATTAATATATTTTGTCTCTTAGGTTGTTTTCTACAGCTTTACTGTAGTTTATATATTCTCAAATTATAACAATAAATATTAGTTATTATGCCAAAAATGTTCACCATCAATGTTAACTAATGTCATTCAACATTCTAGCAAAAGCAATTAATCATTGAAATTTTTAATTTTAGGAATTACAGATATTTAAATTGTCCCTACTTCCTGAAGATGATCTGTTTCAGACTGGTGTCATAAATTTTTGTTTCGTTACTCGAATTACAAAAAATGAATTCATATCTTCAGATGCCATGTCCAAACTACGTCAAGTTTGTAACATTCACATATTCATCAATGTTATTTACCATGTTGGACAATCCAATATTTCTCTTTGCAATGTAATGCAATAAAAAACAGGGATTGGAGCCGGCACACATTTTGCGCATTTAATTGTCAATTTGCCAAATGTCATGCGGTCAATGTTTAATGAATCTGGTTAGAATTATCATTGAAATAAGAATTAAAATTAAAAGTTGGAGCAAGCAATGTTTTGTGCAGCTTCTCTTTATTAGTTTTCAATTTTAGCATTTACTAATACAACCTGTTGAATGACCTCATTTAATTCAACTTTTTACATGTTATTAAATTGGTAAAATTATTTGAAAAGATTTGTCCCATTGCGAAATAATAGACAAATATAGGTACAGAAATTTATTTTCACTTGTCTTTAGTCCTGAGGTCTTTGTTTGATGCATTTTATGTATGAATTTACACAAATCTTTAACCTTTTCTTCATTGATAACTTTGTATGCATTACTATTTTTGCAGCATCTGAAACATTTGGCTATCATGCGTGATAATATTACTTATATTACAATTACAGAAAAATCCTAGTGCCATGCGACACCCAGAAGAGCAACTACCCACCAGCATATACACAATGGACGTTATGTTAAATGCCAGAGCATCCCACCTTCTTAGCCCGCATATCAATTCTTTGTGTAAAACAGCGAAATATTCAACTTTTGCAGAACAAGCGGACATTAAGCTCTTAGCACAAAGTAATTAAAGTTTGATGCGACTGTTTAAACGCGTCACTTGATATTTAAAAAACACACCATTACCTTTGTAGTTTTCAGACCTCAAATATTCTGGACAATTTTGTGATGTTTGATAGAAGGAACTGCTGGTTGAGTTGAGGATGTGGGTGTCCTTAGAAGTATAGACTTTGGGAGATGTCTTTCTGCTATCTGGAAGGCGTTGAATAAATCAGAAAAATCTTTGAAGAGTAAAATAAAAATAATATCAATCAATCTTCCTTTTGCGTCCAGAGACCCGGTTTCCCGAGGTAGGACGTTGTTCTCTTTGCCATCAACTTTTTGCGCCAAATTAGACGATCAGTTGTATCCATTTCATTTAAATTTAGAGCTTTCATGTCTTGCTCGATTGTTTGCGACCAGGACTTCTTTGGACGGCCTTTGGGACGTGTGCCAGGTACTTCAACATCTGCAAGAGAGGTTAGCATGTTATGGCACTGTTTCCACTTCGTTTGACATGACCAAACCACCGCAGACGGTGTTGCCGGCATTCGTCCTTTATATCATCTAAACCAGCACGACGCAAGATTTCGGTAGATTTCGGAAGATTTCCGACACTTTAGATAGAGTCCCAATTATTTTTGAACAACGTTTGTGACACCACTGGTTACACTGCTGACACTTGATTGAATTGTTACCTACACCAGCTTTACAAACTGAACAGGGCCATCGTTCAGTAGCTGTGGATTGGATGGGTTCACCAGTGTTCATTGCTTTGGTTTTGCTGATGTTGACTTTGAATCCATGATCGGCCAGTCTGGTGTTCCAATCTTCAAACATCTGTGCTGCATTTTGCTCAGACGTTGCTGTTAAAACGATATCATCAGCATATACTAGATTCCAAATGTCACTAGTGCGTATCGGCTTTGTGATTTCTTCCATCACAGTTATAAATAACAGTGGACTGAGAATCGAGCCTTGGTGAACTCCAACGCCGATGTCAAATGCATCTGTGTTTCCAACCGTTGTGCTGACAAGAGTCTTAGTATTCGTATACATTTCCATCACAAGTCGAACAAGATATTCTGGAATGAGTTGTCGACGTAGACTCCACCTGATTGCTTCACGGGTAACTCGATCAAATGCTTTTTCAAGGTCTACAAAAATGTGTGATAGTTGTTGATGCTTTGCGAGGTACTTCTCTTGCAGTTGCCGAAGGATGTGAATTGCATCAATTGTTGATTTCCCGCTAGAAAACCAAATTGATAATTTCCGATTGTGATGCACGACGTTAATCTTCTCTCAATGATTTTCTCGACAATTTTCAAGGAGTGTTCTAACAGACGTATATCCCGATATGATGAACAGTTCAATGGATCACCTTGCCTTTGTATAGAGAAACTGTCATGCTATAGTTCCATTCAGTCGGCATTGAGCAATTTCTCCAGATTTCACGGCAAAGTTGTAGTAACGTTTGGATACCTGCAGTACCAGATGCTTTGATAATGTCATTTGTGAGTCCAGAGGGCCCTGCTGCCTTTCCATCCTTCATAGCTTTCAGAGCTTCTGTAAGCTCCTCTACAGTGATGTCTGGAATCGGACCTTCGATGGGTGGAGCGTCAAAGTTAACATTGATTGGATTTGTTTCGTTTAACAGACGGTTGAAGTATTCTCTCCTCTGTAGCTTGATCTCATCTTGTTCAAGAACCATCTCATTTTTGTCATTTTTTATACATGAGGCACCAACTATGTCTTTTTTCGTACGCTTTGCTTGTTTTGCTATACGATACAGAGATTTCATTTGTTCACCTTTGCTTTTAGTGAGCCACTCTCTGCACTGATCTGTCTGAGCCAGTGCAACTTGACGTCTTGCATTGTTGTTCTTCTCACGGAACATTTTATGGTCATCAACAGACTTTGATTTTTGCCATTGCTTGTATGCAACTTTCTTTTCAGCTATTGCATTTTGTACACTGTCATTCCACCACCAAGTGTCACGTTCATGCTGACGTTTTGTACCAGTTTTCCCACAAACTGTAGTTGCAGCGTTCATCAAAATGGTTTTGTATGTACTCCAATCTGTACTGGCTTGCGATTGGTGGTCTAACTGTGTGGCGACAATCTGTTGAAATTTTTCTCGATGAACATTGCTTTTCAGTTTCCACGTTTTGATTTTCCGAGGCATTTGTTTAGACTTATGTTTTGACAGTTCGACAACCAGGTCTGCCACAAGGAGTCTATGTTGGGCGACACATGATTCGCCAGGTATAACTTTGACGTTTTTGAACAGCCTTCGGTGTGGTTGCTTCGCAGCGAAGAAATCAATTTGCGTGGCTGATGGTCCACTTTTGTATGTTATTAGATGTTCCAACCTCTTTCTAAAATATGTGTTCAGTAAACAAAACCCGTGACTTTCTGCAAACTCAAGGATGCGGTTGCCATCTTCATTCCGTTTTCCATAGCCAAAACCGCCATGTACATTGTCAAAACCATCTGTTTTCTCTCCAACGTGACCATTGAGATCGCCTTCAATCAGGATTGTTTCAGATTTTGGTATTGTTGAGATGGTGTCAGAAAATGCAGCCCAGAAGTCATTTTTCATCTCTTCTGATTCGCTTGTCTGTGGTGCGTATGCAGAAAAAATAATCATTGTTTGCTTTTCTATGCGAAGCTTGATCCACATGAGACGTGAATTAATCCTTTTAATATCCAGTACTTCTTGGAGAAATAAAAAATTCTTATTGCATTAAAATGACGGGAATCTATGCAAATCCTCTGATTGTCTTGCTCAATATTTAATGGCACAGCATTGTCCACCCTTAGAGTTTTTTTCTTCCATAAAATGGAATGGACCACTTATTTATTGTTAAATGTAGTGGTGATGTTTATGAGTTTTTAAGTCACTCATTATTATATAGGTTATAAAAGTTATTAAGTTATTAATGTTATATAAGTTCGAGTTAAAAGTATAAAGCCGACAAACAAAACTTAGCGTCAAGTTTTAAAAATGGCTCAAAATTCATGCATAGTCAGTGTTGTATTTTTAATTTTCAGTTATGAACAAAAACTACAGCCTGTTAGAGGAATCAATGAAAAAACTTCCCGACATAAATGGAAATCATTCAGCATGTTCGCACACATCTACCGAGACTTCTCCATGTATTTGTCACTTAACCGTGTGCGTTGAATGGTACCCATGTGGACTGAAATATTGCAGAGGCAGGGATTCTCAAAGTCGTGTTCTCAACTACAGATGCGGCATAAAAACTTGCAAAAAGTGCAGCGTGTTTAAACATTACGTTTCCAGCTTTTTAATGTGCACGTGGGACGAACCAAAAATTGTGTCTTAGCGAATAACGGCAAAAATAATTTTTTGTTTTTTAAAATTATGATTTTTCATTTTACGAGGTTAATGCTTTGTACAGAATATTTAATAGTTTATAAAAAAAACTGATAATTTTTATAGAATTGTATTATCATTTCAAGGCACTTGATCAACAAGTTCAAAATGTTCTTAATCTGCAACAACTCACTTTGCTTTTTATTTTCATTCAGAAAAATGTACAAGTTGCTGATCTAAATAAATGTCTTAACATCGAAGTTTCCTTTGACAAAATTAATTTAATGAGGAGAAGATAACTACGAAATTGAAGTTTGCGTCATATTATGTATTTATTATAATTGTTGTGCAATTAATCTGTATGATAAAATTTAAGTTAACGGGACCAGAGTTGTAACAGTTACTCTTCTGGGCACTTTGGCTTGTGGATCATTGGTGTGTTGTACCTTGCCAATCGATCCTGCTGACGATTGAGCATTTGAAGTCAGTGACTTTGAAGATGGCGTTTGTGATGTCTTTGGTTTTTCCAGTACTTTTGAAAGCAATACATCTTCTGATGGCAGTCCTGAATTCTGATTAAAATAAAAATTATTACAGCATTTCCAGTTTGTTTGAAGCGTGACATGATTTTGAGCACCACTAAGATGACCATGCAAAGATTTCTAAACACGTTAGTTCCCAAACTACGCAGCTCTGTATATTTCATGAAATCACTCATCAAGCAAATGTTCAAACGAAACATAGACAGTTTTTCTGCTGAGAAAGGGTTTAGGTAAGATGCGCCTCAAATACATTTATTTCAAATCTGGATGAAGGATGAGTTGAAGAAAACAAATCTATCGGAAAAACACCAGGTTATGTAACAGATAAAGTAATAGCAGAAGTTTACACCAAAAAGAACCCTTGAGAAATTTCCAACACATTTCGGGGACTGACGAAATAAGACATCCATGACCCTTTATCCGTTCAGCAAGACTGCTCATTCAATTGAAACCTATCTGAGGACTAAAATTGTCAATAGTTATATACCATCGAAACAAAGAATATGAATGGTCAGGGAACTATGTTGCTGGTGAAAGATGTGCATGCAACACTGAGAATCTAACAAGCTGATGGAACATGTTTAAAAACAGAATCTGAAAGATGGAAAGATGTGCTATAAAATCAGTGGAAAAAAATGCTTGAGCTAAATTACTGATGAGCTAGGATATTTTTGATATAGAAAAAATTTATTGAAAATAACTCAAAATAATCATTCAAACTGATCTGATCCGTGGAATGAATCGTTAACAAATATAACAGTAGATGAAGTCATTCCAAAAAATCTGTCAAAACAACATATTTGTGATTAAAAATAAACAGTCAAATTAAAATCCAACCTGATCATTTTGTACAATTTCCATTGATTCAGCAACACAAAACTGTTCAGGTGTTATGTTACTACTGATCACTTCACCCAAATCCCCATCAAGAAATCTTATCAAGGTGCAGTAGCCATCAACGGAGGATGCAATCAACAGCCTGCCATCGGACGACCTGAATCAACACATCACATTGATAAGAGTACACACACACACATCATTTTTGGGAGCCCCTTAATTTCAAAAGGCTCCGGTTTAAAGAACAAGTCAACGGCACATATAATGTGAAAATGCAGTTAATACAGTGAGCCAATGGATGAATGAAAGCAAAGATTAAACTTGTAATTAAAAAACGCCAAATACGTGGTTGACATCTTTCCATAAAATTTATTAGATAAGTAATCTCAAACACCCGGTTAAGTTCATTTCGTTCAATTCAGTATTTTATAATTTAAGCAGCCAACAATATCCACTAAAAAACCACACAAACACGACGTCTTGACTAAAAACAAATTCGATGATACCAAATCGCTTTTTTTAATTCACCGCACGCCATCCTCATTTTGACAACGGAGCTCCGCGAGCAACAGTCTATATGATAATTAATATATATGCAACGACGCAATTGGTGCTCCATGCAGCCGTATTACTATTGCTATCACCATCATCAATAATAATAATATTATTTTAATATTAAGTTATTTTTATTTACATGATTACCATTATCACTATCATCATCATCACTACCATCATCATCATCAATATAATAATAGAACGGAAGCATACCAAGTCAGGTCACTAAGGATATCGTAGTGCACGTTGGAGACGGAGAACATGGGAGTTGGCTGCTGAGTGTCATAAATTAGAATTGAATTTTCGGTGGCAACTGCAAATACAAATCTATGCGGCAGCCTGCATCATTGAGTATTTTGAGTGATGCCACCGTGTTAAAAAATTAAAAGGTAGAATGATCATACACATGTTTAACAGCACGAGCGAGTTAAAATATAAAAAAATTAACTAAAAAAAAATATTCTTCAACACAATTAAATTTAACCACACCAATCTAAATAAAAGGTTCACATTTATCGATGAAATAAAATTGATATATGTCCGTAACAATAATATCGCAGAAAAATAATTATGTACAACAAAAAGCTCACAGATCAAACATAAATAAACACGTTTTAAGATATAAACGGCAGAGAGATATGGCATGGGATACAGTTTTGATAAACTAAGAATGCATACTCTCTTCAAAACAATTTGTCCTAAGATTTTTAAACATTTTCGCCACCAACTTATTTCAATCTTTTAATCTCATACTACTTTGTGAAATTTGTAAAATTTGTAGAAATTTTTGTGGCAGACCATCGTCGCGTGAAAACAATAACATTAGCTGAAAATTCACAACGCATTGCATAGTTCTGTATAACATAATAAGATAGGCTCTTTAACGTCTGCATAAGAGAAAAAGCAAGATTTTATTCAAACTGTCCTTGTAAGCAAGACTCAAAGTCTGCCGAGTGTCGCACATTTTTGTAATTTTTTAGTATGCTCCTATCAAATTCTGTAACGTTTTAATACTGAGTTAAATGACTTGAACAAAATTACAAACACTCTTCTGAAACTTCCATAAAATGTCTGATACAACACCTAGCATGAGGTTTACTTTGTGAACCATTTTCAATATGGGATGTTTAAACTTCAATTTGTCGTTGATAAAATTATGCCAAGATCCAATATCATTCCAACCTGTGGCGGTTGGAATGATAAATCTGCTGCAATTCAGAATAGTCGAGGCGAAGCCTGATTTAGTGGAACCTCTCTCCATCAGCTGTTTCAACTTCATTGCTTCTTAGAGCCATCGTCATTATTTGCATAAAATACTACTTTGTTTAATTTAAATTTTGTTGTGGTCAAATAAATTATTTTATTCATTCATCAAAATGCAAAATAATGTGACGGAATGATGAAATATTGTTTATACAAATTAGAAACAGCGGTAGGATAGAACGTTGCCCTGCCATTCTTTACTGAAAACCGCACTTGGTTCTAACAACGCATCATTCAAGTTCACTTACAGCATCCTGTCAGCGATATAATTTCCAACACATTTTAAATGTCATATTGTTGACGGCACACTGTTGAAGTGAGAGCAAAGACCTATTGAGAAACCCTTTCAAAGTTTTTTCCTGATTCCTATAAACCATGTTGGCTTCATGACCAAGATCTACAGCCTCAGTAGTATCTTCCAGAAATTTTGAAAGTTGTGAAACTGCGGAAAGACCTAGCATGAAACCAAACTGACCGTTAAAAAATAAATCCTTTGCTAAGCATAAAACATGATCTATTACTACAAGAGACTCTAGAATTTTGTAGAAAATCGACGCTGGTCATCAAATGAATTTCCACATGACTACAAAACAATGAAAGATTAGTTCTAAAATGCAAAACTGGTACGATTTTTACCTATTTTTAAACGGTGTGGCAACCTCAAAGTTTGTCACTAGCATATCTATAAATTTATCAACAGGTTTGATGCTTTAATTTTATTAGTTCTCTGGTCATCTTGAACTTTAAAAGCATGTTCATTGTTTTTTGGTACAAACTCGTGAGAATAAAGCATGCATTTTTATCCTTAAGACATCCATCCGATCGTTCTTTACATTTGTTTCTGAAGCAAATGCAGCACTCATCAGTTTTGGTCAGAAAGCCTTTCCTGACGTGATCACAACAAAATTTATCTGAACCGCTACTGAAACCTTCGAGATTTTATTCATGTTCCTAGCAAGCTCATGCAATGAAACCGACTGACTATTCTTAAATCTTGTAGGATGGATTGAAACACGTTGTAATCAGGAGTTGAGGTACTGATAAATAATTTGCTTGTTTAGTTATACGCAAAATCTTAACACCATTCAAATTTTTAAACTCTTTCCAAATTAACTTTTATCTTTCTCACTTGACATGAAAGCAACTTGCAGAATATCAACACTAAACATAATTTCAGAGATTATGTATACATTTAATGGGACATTCCTCTCAGAAGACAGACCACCACCATCCATGGATGCGATCAAAAACGATGGGTCTGCTCTGTTGCAGGCATCAGGCTTGAGTGCAGAGGTTTCAGCTCAACATGAGTTCCATTTTGAGAACCATTTGATAGTGTACTAACAACAATAACAATAATAAAACAAAAAATTTAAATGTAGCACACAAAAAAAACAAACTTCAAGATTGATTCAAATCTCTCATCGGCTGAGTCAACTGGAGTAAAAATTGAGTTATTGATCTAATTACAAACATCTGCATACATTGTTGTGATCGTAATTATAGGTCAAAGTTGAATAATCCAACCTTTACTTTTGTTGAAATCTCGCAACTTGAAGATAATGGGGCAGAATCTGACCGCCAATGTGGCTTTACAAGAATGAGGAACTGGGAAGTGTAGGAGAGGTCTGGTAAGAGAAATGATAGTTGAAAACTTTTACATCCATGTGGCCAATTGATTTAAGCTGTTTTATTTGATTTAACAATCAAACTAGCTTAAATAATTGATTTTTCTGATATTTTGAAGTTAAGTTAAATTAGCTATTATAAGAAACTCAGCGAGCTTGGTTAAAATTTTTAATGAAAAGTATTTCATATTCCATCCTCATTATCTTTAAAGTATTTATCATTTGAAATTTTTACACGTTGACCGAAGATTCAGTAAGACGAGATGTCCACACTCAGTTAAGAAAAACGATGTGGAATGTTATGGAGGCGTTGAGGAGAGCACCAAAAATAGAGCCAATCAGTGGCTTTGCTTAAATAATTAATTGAGAAACAAGTAGCAAAGTTAACGCGATAATAATATTAGTGTATAATATATTTATATGTCCATACACAAGTGTACATTCCATGAGTCTGTAGTTAAAAAAGTATTAAATCATTTTATTGTTCTATACCAAAATATTTTGAATAAAAAAATACTTTGATAGATCTCTTCTAGAGAAGAGGTAAGTGGTGTTGATGATAGTATTTGCCTGGTTGTCACTGGTGTTTGATGTTATTTCGATAATTCCAGATGGCACCACTAACAGCTGACCGTCAGGACTATACGACAACCTTCGGAAGAATGATTTCATGGAATCATCATGAAAGATTTTGAATTCTTTGCCTCCTAACGAAATTTTTCGAACGTCATGCAACAATTTGTAATCTACATTTTGGTAAACTTTCATGGACCTGTAGAGCGAAGATAGACAACGTATTCATTATCGATTCATTACAACTATTGAAAAAACAACCAACTTTATCAAAGATCAAATATTAAGAAAAAAATGCATTACCTATCGCAACTGAAAGTGACTAAATAACGGCTTAATGGATCAAATCCCACCCCCTGGACATAACTTCTATGAGATGAAAAAATGTGCAGCTTCACGCCTGAAACAGTTGAAAACATTTATATTTCAAATTTATTATCAATTATCAGCCTCTCCTTCGCTGCCACAATCAGAAGTATAGTTGACCATTATTTCAAATTTAACGTGTTGAAGATTCGTGACATCAACTTTAGTGATAATAACGTGCCTGGTCCACCTACCTTACTCACACGAACAACACCTCATCAGCCCACCTTACTCACATGAACAACACCTCATCGGCTTGTGAAACTCTTTCAAAATGCGTTTTTTAAAAACTAACTTCAATCAAAATAGAGTGAAAAATGGGATGGTTGACATTTCATTCCTCCAAGAAAATGATAACATCCAAATTACTCCCGCGGCCTATTACTCAGTCACTCATTGTTAACAGAAAATTTAAATCAGGTACAGCTCAAATGCTGACAATGACAAAAGTTCTTGCATCTGAACAATTTGAATAATTAAGACCAACCTTTTTTGACGTCCCAAAGTATGGCAACGTTGTCGACAGAGCCCGACAGCAACTGACTGCCATCTTTCGACCAACCCACATCGTACACGTCCTCCAAATGGCTCCTTCAAACGCAGTTAAAGGAAATAAAACTATTCATAATTAAAACACAATGAAATAGAATGTTTTTTTTGTAAACTGCTGCTTACACCTTCAAGGCTAAAAATAAATAAATGATTCAATAAACACACACGCACAAACACAAACACAAATATATGATGTAAAATAATAAAAACATTGAAATTAAAATTGTTTGAAGCTGTAAGAATTGTTGCGGGTTTTCTCATTAGTCAATCATTAGACTTGCATTTTGATGCAGTTAATTCAGTCATTTCCTTTGACAATTTGGCTAAATTTCATTTGCAAATTGACATTTATTTCTTTTAATTCCTTTTAAAATCTAGTTTAATCCGGTTTTCCTTGTTAGAAATTTTTGACGAACAAGAACTAACATAATTCAACTTTAAGTGCTCTCATATGTTAATGCCGTCCAACAAATTACTTTTACCTTTTCTAGACATATTTAGTGAAGACAATTTTTTATTTTTTGGATTTTTAACAACTTATAAACAAATTAGTCATATGTTGAAATGAATAGAATTCCTTTGTGTTCACAATAAATAACTTGTCATCAATTACACAGAAAAATACAACAGTTCGCTAACAACTCTTCTATAACTTGCCATGCTGAATATATAAAAAGAAGACCACACACACACACACACACACACACACACACACACACACACACACACACACACACAAGCATCGCACTAATTTTACAGATCATTATTACAACAGTCAAATTTTTCACAAACGTTGCAAGAGATGTTCAACTCTTCTCATCGGAACTTTCTCATGCCTGCCAGATGCACAGGATTGGATGCGTCACTTTTAGTTGAATTTTGTATAGCAGTGTAAATAATATAACATTATCAAAGCATCTGGTACTGCAGGTATCCAAACGTTACTACAACTTTGCGGTGAAGTGTGGAGAAAATGCTCAATGCCGACTGAATGGAACTATAGCATGACAGTTTCGCTATACAAAGGCAAAGGTGATCCATTGAACTGTTCATCATATCGGGATATACGTCTGTTAGAACACTCCCTGAAAATTGTCGAGAAAATCATTGAGAGAAGATTAACGTTGTTCATCACAATAGGAAATTATCAATTTGGTTTCCTAGCGGGAAAATCAACAATTGATGCAATTCAAATCCTTCGGCAACTGCAAGAGAAGTACCTCGCAAAGCATCAACAACTATCACACATTTTTTAGACCTTGAAAAAGCATTTGATCGAGTTACCCGTGAAGCAATCAGGTGGAGTCTACGTCGACAACTCATTCCAGAATATCTTGTTCGACTTGTGATGGAAATGTATACGAATACTAAGACTCTTGTCAGCACAACGGTTGGAAACACAGATGCATTTGACATCGGCGTTGGAGTTCACCAAGGCTCGATTCTCAGTCCACTGTTATTTATAACTGTGATGGAAGAAATCACAAAGCCGATACGCACTAGTGACATTTGGAATCTAGTATATGCTGATGATATCGTTTTAACAGCAACGTCTGAGCAAAATGCAGCACAGATGTTTGAAGATTGGAACACCAGACTGGCCGATCATGGATTCAAAGTCAACATCAGCAAAACCAAAGCAATGAACACTGGTGAACCCATCCAATCCACAGCTACTGGACGATGGCCCTGTTCAGTTTGTAAAGCTGGTGTAGGTAACAATTCAATCAAGTGCCAGCAGTGTAACCAGTGGTGTCACAAACGTTGTTCAAAACTAATTGGTACTTTATCTAAAGTGTCCAATTTTGTTTGTCCTGCTTGCATCAATCCACAACAACAAATTCGTTTTTGAAGCAATTAAGGTAGAGAAAGTCACATCGTTTCAATATCTAGGGGATGTTCTGGATTGTACTGAAACAGCTGAAGCCGAGATAACCGCAAATGTGAGTATTTTTTCTAAGGTATGTAAAATGGTAACTAAAATCCGGCCCCGGCCAGTTTTTGAATTTTAAATCCGGCCAAGTCCGGCCCCGGTGCATCCCCAACTAGCTTGCTGGAATGGTTTTGAGTTCTTAAATTTTTACTATCTGTAAATTCTGATGCATTGATATTGATCTAAGATCTGGTAAAACCCTACATAAATTTTAAAATATCAGTTTTGAGTTTAACTTAAAACGCCGCTGTAATACAAATCTAATTTTCGAAACATTAAGTAATTAGATAACAAAACCTTTAAACCTGAGGCATTTAACTACAGTCCAGCTTTCAGAGGGAATTACGCCATCACAATCAAATGCTGGGTTCGCAGGTTCATGTGTAGTAAGTTGCCACAACATAATCAAGGAATCTATTTTGTAAAGACGTTTTGAGTTAATATTGAATACAGTTAAACAACAAAAAGGCTTACCATCTCCACCTGAGGCTAATAACTTTCCTGCAAAAAAATTAAATGTTAAAATAAACATGAAACAATCTATGTTTTGCTACTCACGTTGCAGTAAATGTTTTTAGAAAAAATTTTCAGGTCATTTACGCAAAAAACCATATTTATTATGCTATTATTGAAGCGTTTTCAATTCTTGACTTAACTTTTAAAAATTTGTGTACCTTCAATAACTTTTCCTTTTCACTTACCATTATTTCCACTCCTGCTTCACAGCTTTATCATTTCCTGGCGAAAACCATCTATAATTTTCTTTCAGCTACTTAGTCTGGCTCCTTGATTCCTCTACCGAACTTCTTGCAAACGACAAATATCTCTTTTCCTCAATAGTGCTTCAGTAACTTCTATGTTCATTCCAGACAATGCACCTAATTCCAAGATCCAAGTTTTACAGTGACATGGGTCACCTGAGTGACCTGAGGCATCTCACTCCTGCCGTGTAGATCTCTCAATATTCGAATGCTTTGGGAAATCCCATACGATTTTTCTTTTTTGTGAGTACTCATACTAAATTTAAGATTCCATAAACTTAAACTTCTTCTGCTTCTATTTTCCAACAACAGCGTTCATACATGGCAAGGATATATATATACATACATATATATGTGCGGCCCTCCAAAGGTTAAACAGTTTTCAAAGTGGCGCTCACAACAAAGTTTGCCCACTCTTGATGTACATTATTTTTTGCATTGTTGTTGTCGTTGTTTTTATATTCATAAGGAAAAAAATATTATTATTTCCTAATTTTTAATTTATAATTCAAAATACTATTTATATTAATCAAATAGAAATATGGGACAATATGGACATAAGAGCATAAGTTCGATAGCCTTGAAATAAGAACAAAGTGAAAAGATAGTTAAAAGAGAAGCCTACAACATCAGATGGCGAAGAAATTAACAAGACAAATAGTACGTAAAAATTGATAAAAAATACAAAATTAAATGAGCTTTACCATCTGGTGAAAATCTGACAACATTTACTGTCTTTGAATGCCTGGACAATGTAGATAAGTAAGAAATGCGAGCAAGATCATTACTATTCAGGTCTACTTTCCAAATCTATAAACAAATTAAATTTTACAAATTAAACTATGCAAATGAACTGTTACTACCTAAAATATATTGTAAATGAAATGACATTTTAGATGTAACAAAATACATGTAAGCAATAAAACATTATATTTTGCGTTATGTCATCAATCAGGCGTTGAAGCAAACGTTAAATGTAGTTTAGTATGTAGTTTGCATCTTCATAGCAATTTCTTTCTCAACAACTTCCTATTTTGCAACTCAGTAGGCTCAGCACCAGACCATCCTAACTCTAATCAATTTATTTCATTATTATTTTATTTCAATTCTATCTTTAGTATTTCTCAGAGGAATCAACAAACACACAGTATGTAAACACTCACGAATCAACACAACACACACATTGGATGCGATGGTAGGAGACCAACATAATTTGAACATGCCAGACAACTTAACCATTACACCATCTCGCCACTCAGTTTGTTTACAAATATAATACCTCTGAAATACTTTTTCATTCCTATTTTTAGCTCTGGGTATCATTCTTGATGAAGCTTCCTTTAAACATGGAGCCGTATCTCAACACACAAAAAATATAAAAACATAACTTTTAAACCAAATCATTTATTTGCACGTCAATAATATCGTAAAATCACCAAAAACTATCAATCAATCAATCTTCGTTTAGCGTCCAGAGACCCAGTTTCCAGAGGTAGGATTTTAAAATTACCAAAAACTAATCTATTAAAATTTTATAATTCTTAACTCATTTTTGTTTACCTTAGTTCGAAATAGCAATGTTTTTGAAGCCATTAAGGTAGAAAAAGTCACATCGTTTCAATATCTAAGGAATGTTTTGGATTGTACTGGAACAGCTAAAGCTGCCGTTCAAGCACTCATACGTGCAGCCTGGAATAAATAGCATCTCCTTGCCTCTGTATTGATGCAGCATGACATCCCATTACCAATACAATCAAAACTTTATAAATCAGTGATACGTCCGGTGTTGTTGCAGAAACATGGCCAATGACAACCAAACTGAAACAACAACTTCAACGAACCGATATGAAAATGCTCTGATGGATGCAACAAATTAGTCTGAAGGACCACATCAAATCTACCGAAATCCTGCGTCGTGCTGGTTTAGATGATATAAAGGACGAATGCCGGCAACACCGTCTGCGGTGGTTTGGTCATGTCAAACAAAGTGGAAACAGTGCCATAACTCCTCTTGCGGATGTTGAAGTACCTGGCACACGTCCCAAACAATCGAGCAAGACATGAAAGCTCTAAATTTAAATGAAATGGATACAACTGATTGTCTAATTTGGTGCAAAAAGTTGATGGCAAAGAAAACAACATCCTACCTCGGGGAACTGGGTCTCTGGACACTAAACGAAGATTGATTGATTAGTTCTGTAAGCAGTGCTATAAAGATAAAATAAAAAAAACATGATAATAAAAAACTAGACACTGGTTACACTGGCTTTCTGGGCTTTGTTAATAATGCCAAACCAAACGTTATTCTTCCCCAGTTTGGCTAGCCCTTAACTATTTGACTTAGTGCAACAAATATCCTGCAAGCAAAAAATTATGTAAACTGATCGAAAATCAGTTAGTTTCATTGACATTGGTATCATTGATAATTTCCAACCTCTAGAAAAGAAAAACTTTCAAATATTCACTAATGCAAAGTTTTATTGAAACGACTGTTGTTTGAATTAGACATAACATAGCATAACAGATTATAAAATTACATTTTTTAATCAAAAAAATTTAAATTTTTCACACCAAAATGACATGTTTCAAAAATTTAGTTGAAATTTTTAAAAGAACAAGTTTACCATAATGTTGATATCCATGCCACATGTTGCTAAACGCTGAATGTTTCCATCAATTGGCTGCAGATCTACACTGTACAGTGGATCTCGACCATGCCAGGATATTTCAGGAGTGAAAAATTTCATATTCAAAGCTATAAAATAAAATTTGAATCAATATTTGTCCAAAAAATAAAAAACATTTGCTATTATTAATTTATGAATATAGTGCTATATAACTGCATCAGAAAATTTCAAAAAATCAAAGTCACTTGATAATTTGAATACTTATACAGACCCTTGAACGCATACCATGTGCTCTAGAGTCTGGTCTCATTCTTTAGTTTCCTTGAACATATTCATCAAACTCATCTAATTTTACAATTTTCACATTTTTATAGTTTATTAGTAAATATTTATTCATTTTTTAAAGATTTTATTCATTTTAACTATGTTTTAATTATAGATATGCAAATGCATGAAAGAAATATTTATATCTATTTATGCGTATTTAGTATCTTTTTCTGGCGTATGTATAGCCAAACTGATATGAGATTGTTATGCTTGACAGGCATCTCCAGGGTGCAACAAATAATACCCCAACACAATGGCAATATTTGGTCTCTTTTTTTTAACAGGCATAATTCTGCATGCTGTTCCCTAGTTTAATACATAGTATTTTAACTAAACTCATCCAAAAATGGGCTTTGAGAGTACAATGCTTAATTTTTAATGTATATAGAGGTTTAGGTTCTTGAATCTTTCTTTATAAAATACTAATGTTTCAGCCATGATGCTAAAGTTAGTTCAGCTACTCTTAACGTCTAAGCTTTACCACTGTAGTTTCAAACATCACTATAAACTTTTAACCATTTATCGCATAAAAAACTTGTTTAGTAAATATTTAAGCTCTAAAATAGGAGTGATCGGACATTTTCAACTGAAGGCCACATTTAAAATTAAATTGCTTCTGAGCCCCATACAACCTATATATGAAACTTTCCAGCTCTTCAACATTTTTAACCCACCAACATTCAAAAGTTTAACTATAAAAAAATCATCTTTTTTTGTCGTTTGAAAGCTCTTTATATAATTTACAGCTTAAAATACAATTTGGCTTCTTGCAACTTAGGCTCTTTCCCTCAAGGCCTAACCCAATCATCTTTAATAGGAGTCTATTTAATAGGGCTTTTTTTAGATTTAGAGCATTTTTATGGAGATCCTCAGTTAATCCTCAGCAAATAGAAATTGAAGAGGTTAAAAATGAGATCTGTTGTAGGTGACTAAGTGAAATCTACACTACATTTTCTAAACTATTGGTTTTTAAAAGCTTACAAACACAACTGAATTGTTTAAAATCAAATTACAATAAAAATTTTATTTAATATTTTTTAAATATTCAGTTAATTAAGTTAAAATAAATAATTAACTAATTAATTACTTAGTAGAAAAAAGGGTTTGCAATTGAATTGAAAACAAATTAATTACACATTAATAAGTTATTGTAATTTGTAGTATAAAAAATATGATAGGGTTAGGTTAGGAATTCCTTTTAAATTAAAATTTCTCATTTCTGTCTAAGAGTATTTTTATGCTTTTCAATCATGTGTACTCAGACTCACTCATTCAAACTTATTTCTTGTGTTGCAGGCACTGTTCTAGGATTTTGCCAAACAAAAACTAAATACTTAAAAAATTAAAGGAATAGCTAATGTTTTTCATATAAAATAAATTTTTCCCTAATGCTCATATTATTACCACTTGTTTTTGTACTATTTAATTTTTTTTAAGTTTAATTAATATAATTTATCAATGAACTTATTAATTATAGCAAAAAGTAAAGTGAGCAATTGTTGCTGAAAATTCATTGCTAAAGTACCTGGCTTAAAACAATTATAAGGCATCCCCACATCCAGTAAGCCAAATCTAACAGCTCTTTGATTTTGAGCATTTGCCAAAAATACCAATTTTAATGTCTAATCATAATCTAATGATAATCTTTTTAATGTTAATTAATCTAATGAGCGCACTGCTGTCAAAAAAGTCTTAATATAATTTAAGAAGCCAATCAGCATTTAATAAATAAATAAATAAGGGTTGTTATATATATAAAAAAAAAGTATATTTTTCCTTATTTTTAATTCAAAAATGAATTAACCTGAAAAAGTTAGTATTAGTTTAGTTTTAGTAATTTAGTTAAATCTGAAACCAGTTACAGTTATGAGTTAATAGTTATTTAATTTTAATTTAATGTTAATCTGTGTTAATGAATCTACAAATTTTGTAACTGTAATTTTATAAAATTATATTATAAGCAACACGACTTCTCGATATCCAGAAACATAAAAATGTTAGTAGATCAGACGGGTAACTTCAAGTAAAATTCTTTGTGGAAATAAAATTATTCATTTATTTATCTTATTTGTTTATAAACTCCCGCGGTTTCCTTAGCTGTTTAACGAGCGTTGGCTTTCTAACGATTAATAGTTCCTGATGTTATCGAAACGACCATCTGACGACCGACCTATATATCTAAATAATACTATAATAATAATTTAATAATAATGTCATTTGTGCAGCGCCCTAACCATAGCGTCAGAGACGCCTGACAATACAATACAATTTTTTATTTGCTCCCCAAAATTAATAAAGAAAACAAATTAATAATAAGGCAGAACGACTGTAATGGAGTTCACCAACGAGCTCATCCAACGCAGGAATTGACGGAATGAACGTGAAAAAGCAAGAGATCTGTTCAACATTAGGACAATTGTGAAGCTTTTACAAACCGTTAGGGGCTGTCCATAAAAACGTCACATTTTGTTGTTTTTAACATCGTCACTCCCAGTATGGCTAACCGACCGACGGTTATCTATCAATCAATCATCAATTAGCTTATAAAGCGCTATTTCCACGATGTTCAACAGCGCTCCTCAATGAATTTTGAAAACAGATGGGTCTTGAGATCCGCTCTGAACTTCGTAAGTGATAGAGAAGTAGTCAAAGAAGTAGGTAGAGAGTTCCAGAGAAAAGGGCCAGAAAAAGCAAATGCAGATTTAGCAAAAGAGTGTCTAACACGAGTTAAGAAGAACTGAGAATATGAAGACGATCGTAAACCGGGGCGTTTAGGTTCAATAAATATTTCTGATAAGTACTTAGGGAATAATTTAGATTGAGACTTACACACAAAAGTGCAAATTTTAAAAATTATTCTGTATTTTATAGGTAACCAGTGCAAGAGAACAAGATATGAAGATATATGAGAAAAGAAACAGGCACGAGCAACTAGACGAGCAGCGGAGTTAAAAGCTTTACTTAAAGGATAGAGTGTAGAATCAGGAAGACCATAGTGAGTTTTAGAATCAGGTAAAATAATAGGAGGAATAGTAATAGAGTGTTTAAATTTGTTAAAACAAATTAATACAAATTTAGAAGAATTAACTTTAAAAAACAGAATCAGACCAGGCGATAATTGAAAAAAGACATAGAGATAGATTATGAAGATATTAGATAAAGGAAAGGAATTATAAATATAAGAATAAAATTATAAAATTAATAATCAAGATATGAAATGATTTCAGATTTAACTAACTTTTTCAGGTTAATTTAATTTTAAATTAAAATCAAACATAAGGAAAAAATAATATATATATTCAACAAGTTTTTGCTAATATTACGCACGTTGTTTGAAATTGAATTAGTATTTTTTTTTTATTATCTGTTTTATTAAAATGGAATGGTTTACTTATATATATATATATATATATATATATATATATATATATATATATATATATATATATATATATGATGCGCAATTAATTGAAAATGATGACAATTTTACGTTGGTTGAACGCAGCAAAAATAGAATAAAATCAAGAATGTTACCACCAGTTGCAACAAATATCGAACCATCAGCAGTTCATCTCAAACAATGAATTGAACAAATTAAAAAAGTCATTGGTAAAAAAAAGAAACTGTTCGTCGAATTTAAAATCTATGAAAACAGAACCACGGAAAAAATGGTCTATGTTGGTAAGCTGGACCAATGCACCTCCGACGATGTTCTCAATCATTTAATATCTTTAGATGTAAATGCAATTTCATGCATTCCACTAGCTAAATCTGTATTTAATAAAAAAATCAAATAGGTAATAACGGTAAAACTTAAGATACTGACGTCAGAACAAGTGCACCTTTTCGAATATTGTTCTTTGAATCAGACTTTGACATCGTGATGAATGAAGAAAATTAGCCAAATAATGTCATCCTCCATGAATGGTGCTTTTTCGATTCTCAAAAGTTTCAACCTGCTGCCAACTCTGTCTCTCAATCGACTAACACTATGATTGGCTAATTCAGATTCATCTTTATCATTTAACTATAATAATGTCAATCGTGATAAAAATATTAATATAAATTCTATCGATCCAGATTTAAATTTTTTCAATGATATCGTCAACAATTCTCCTCTCATACTTCCAGAAAAGATAGATAAGTTCATCAACTTTACAACGTTTTTTCAATTCTACACTTAAACAGTAGAAGTTTATACAACAAAATGTCAGAACTTGTTACTCTTATTAATGTTTGTAATAATCGTAGCCATATTGTTGGTGGTGGTGTTGGAATGTTTGTTTCTAATTTTTTAAAACATGTTGTTCGTGACGACCTTCTTTATTGTTTTCCTTCTTTTGAATTGCTTATTATCGAATTGTTAAACATATGGTCAAAATTATTTATTATACGTTATTTATCGTCCTCCTAACAACGACTTATTAACTTTTATATATGATTTGCAATCTCTTTTGTTGAAAATTCCAAACTCATGCAAATATGTTTATTTTGTAGGTGATTTTAATATAAATTTAATAAATAACGATCGCAATAATAATAATATTGAATTTATTAAATTAATGTATTCGTTTAATTTTTATTCTTTATTCTGCTTCTACTGCATCACTGATTGATAATATTTTTACTAATAATCTTTTTCCTCATAAATCTGGCGTTATCAGTTCTTCTCTGTCCGATCACTTTCCTATTTTTACTTTTTTCAATCTTAATACTCCTTTATTAACTTCTAATTTATTTAATCATTCGTTTAATTTTGTAATAATAATATTCGTAATTTAAATATGTTTCTT